TCAAATGACAGGGTCCAACAGTCCCCAGCTCAAGAGATGTGTATTCCAGTAGCATGGCGAAGCAGTTCTTGAAGGAACCTCAAATTACAGCGACACAGTCCACAGGCTAAGTGACCCACAGGTAGAGTAGCTTGAAAATTGAGGCAAAGAACAAGCAAGGCAGCCGCACACTGGTCTGATCATCAAAGAGCAAGAGAAAAGAAAGGTGAGGCTCACCAAGCCATTTATCTCTCCGCCTTTCAATTAATCCCACGTGTTCATTGGCCATGTTGGCACAAAAACCTACCTATCACAGGTGTGCTGAGTTATACAACTCCAGGTTGTCATTCACACAGGAATATCTACAAAAGTTAGCTATATGAGGAGCCCTGAAGGTTTAGTTGTTACATGTTAGTCAGCTAAATGCATGGTCAGCAGTTCGAAACCATTAGCTTTGCTTTGGGAGAAAGACCGGGTTTTCTCCCATAAAGAGTTGCAGTCTCAGAAACCCATAGGGGCAGTTCTACCCTGTCCTATAAGATCACTCTGAGTCAAAATCCACTCGGTGGCAGTGAGTTTGCTTTTGTTTGGGTGTAGTAGTGCAACACACTAGCCCTTTGTGACTAATTCTGCATTTGGCGGCTCCAGTTATACTTAGACATGGTAGTGATGGGGTTCTCCAGGAAAGAGAAATTCTGCCAGGGTAGGATCCGAGAGAACTGACTGTATTTTACAGCTGCCTCCAGGTACTTTGGAAAGTTCTGTTTCAGTTATTTTTATCTCTTGGAAGGTGGCATTGGGGCTGGTAGGATGTTCTTCAAGCTACTAATTGCTATCGTTGCTGTAGTCCAAGCTAGGCGCCAGGGCGGGAAACCCTGAGCACTGTCTAAATGGTGCTTTTTAAATTTCGTCCACAAGATGACTTTAGACCCATTTATTCATTTTTCCCTTCATCGAACGAATAATTGATTGACTATCTGAAAAGCTGTAAGCTTTATGGAACATATAGTCTCCATAAAAAGGAGTTTTTTAGTTTGTTATGAGTTAGTTTGTGCTTATAAGCTCAATTAGTTTGTGCTTATAACTGGAGATCTTTTGGCTTTTCTATGTTCTCAAATGTACTGTCTGAGACTAGAGAAATTAACACGGGCATTTGTATTTTGTAATGTTGTTTTTTTTAATCACTGGACATATGTCGTTTTAAAGATAATAGAAACACTTAGACATACTTGAAAATCCAATGCTGCACCACTTGTAAAGAAGGCAACACCACTCTGCATTGACTGGGCTTTAGATGTAGTGCGGCCCCGGGGAGGCAGAAGAGAGCCCTGGGCACACTGGTTAAAAGTGTTCGGCTGGGAACTGAAAGGTTGATGGTTCAAACCCACCAACTGCCCCACGGGAGAACGCTGTGGCGGTCTGTTTCCATGAAGATTTACGGCCTTGGAAACCCTACAGGGCAAATCTACTCTGTCCTTACAAGGCCCCTTACAGGGAGTGGGAATCGCCTCAGCAGTGGGTTTGGTTTGGGCTTGGGGAGAGTCCGTAATGATTGGAAGATGTCAGACTCTAAGCTCCAGGCCTTGTTGAGTTAACCAGTGTGGGTCTGTGGCACCGGGTTGCTGAAAATGGAAAGTAGCATTCATTAGCTGCCAGGGAGCCACTCTGCTCCACAGGAGGCGGGGTCAGCTCATGCTACAGACTGGTGGTTGTCCCCATGGGTCTTTCTGGGGCTGGGTGCTGACTTCTTTTAATTCCCCTGGGTTCAGGGAGAAGGCTCCGTGGATGAGGGTGGAACCAGTGCAGGGACTTCGCAAATGGAACCTGGGACCGGAGAGAGTCGCAGCCCTCCCCCAAAGCTTCTGAAAGTCTGATCCGCCCCTGGAAGATTTCCAACCCGGTCCCTAGAATTAATGAACTATAACACAGAGTCTAATTAAAAGACTTCCTGGTTACACTACTCATCAAACTCCTTTAGAAATCTGTTGTTTAATAATCGCCTAGAACATGTATCTCCCCCCCCCTATGTTATCTGTGGCGATGGAGAACCAGTAGTATCCAGGTCTCCTGTTCCTTCAGCCTTCTCTTCTCCTAAATAAATGAGCCTGGTTCCTTTCCAAAAAAAGCAAACAAACTGTGCTCCAGTTATAAGCACAAACTAATCTCCAATAAAGGAGATTCACTCAAGAAACACCCTACACAATAACCATGTCTCCTTCATCCGCCAAACCCATTTAAAAATGTGATTATAGCCACAGACATAGAAGATAAATTTTACAACACGTGTTTTTGGAGGACAGAGGTCAATCTGTAAGAACAGGTATTTCCTTGTCTGGATGTAAATTGACCAGACTCTCAAGCTTGGCTAGCAAAATAAGGAAATACCCTCATAAATATTCGTTTCATTACACTACCATCCATGTCAACTCAGGATGGAATTGATTTCATCTCTTTTGGGCACAGATATATTTCCCAGAGATCAGGAATCATCTACCAATGTTCATCATCAAGGGCCAGTTCTAGAAAAACTTCCTACATTTTAAATCCATGAAACGTTATTGGCAAGGGAAAGTTTGATCAACAACTGGATCAGTCCAGATAGATCACCTTTCTATGTTATAAGAAACCTTAATGAAAATTGCTTCCAACATTATGTTGTGGCAAAGGAGTATGAATTAATATTATTTCAAAGGATGTATAACTATAGAAAAGTCCCATATACGTCAATCAAACACAATGAATAATCTCAGGCTTCACAAGGCCCAACAGGATAGCATATAATGAAAACATGAGAAGTTATTTTATAATGAAGTCAAGAGAAATTCTCTAGCAATACTAAAAATATACAAATAAGGCTGTCTCATAGATGAAGGGATTTCTACCCCCCCCCCTTTTATTGCTCTAAATTCCAGAATTATGAAATAACTCAGTCCTTAGCTTTCCTCCTTATGTATTTACCACTTCATTTAAAATTGGCCACCCCCAAATGTTCTTTCTGACCAGTAAAAGTTGAAAAGTGCAGGAAGAATTGGCAGGAGAAGGGTATTTGGGATCCTCTTGATTGGCGGGTTCCCAGCACAGAATAAACAAACATCTGCCTTCGAGAGCATAAACTATGATCTATTTACAGAACAGAGGCTGCGCTCACGAGACTCCTGTGTTTCATTTCTTCAGTGCAAGTCTGTGATTTGCTGAATGTGTCCTTTTCCCAGAAACGCTGGGATAAAATCACAACCGGCCAACTGTCACGGACCTCTGTTGATTTTGCTGCCTGGCATTCTTTCTCTCTAGCTCGTAAGAATCCTCTTTGACGTGGTCCCTTCCCACTCTCAGAGAAGCAGGGTCCTGGGAATTTGAGTCCACCACTACCACGGCAGACCCATGCCCACACTCATTCTGTGTCTCCCGAGCCTCGTGGTTAGTCCATGTGATTGATGCAAAGGTGGCCATATGTCCCAAGCAGGATTTGTGAGTGGTCATGAGATTTTCTCTGGACTCCTGGACTCCTATATTCATTCATTGGGTCTAAGAGCTAAGATAATGTAGGAGCGGAAGCTATTGCTGCCACCATCTTGTTGCCATAGTAACTTGAGATGGAAGCCCACACAAGGGAAGGCAGACCAGATGATGCTCCTGTAAAGAGCTGTCAGCGTCTCGGAACCCACAGGGCCCCGAGGGTTCCCATGAGTCCGATTTGACTCGATGGCAGTGAGGAGGAAGAGCAGTTTACGTGTGTTGCCATCATCATTTCCAAAACGTTTTCTTTCTACTGGAGCCTTTGGTATCAACTCCTCTTTTTTCCCACCCTCCCCCACCCTTCCACCCTC